GAACATGTGTTTAATATCTTACCAACAATTTCTAGTTATACTTCTTTTTAGAAAGAAAATGGTCGGTTTGGGGGTAATAATTCATACGAATAAAATAAAACGATCAAAGATTTCGACAACCAGAAAAATTGATAAGAGTATATCATAATCTCAGATTGTTTAAGAATAATTTTTAATAAATGTTAATATTGAATATAAATCGAAACAAGATTCTACCATGGAGAGCGAAAAATTAATTACAGAATTTTAAAAAAATATTCCATATTTTTATTATTATATATATGTTAACGTCAATGTGTTTTTTTTCCAGCAATGTGCTATTATTTCAACTTTAAATTTGAGCGCGTTTTTAGAAAAATTCAAAAATCTGATTTTGCCAGAATCGTACGCCGTCATGTTACCTATCCTCTGAATTTCAGATAATATTTCCAAGAACTCTAATATAATTTATATTAAATTTTTTTCATATATTTTTTTTTTGATATAAATTTATTAATGACTCAAAGATTAACAGCAAAATTGTGTACAATTCATATGATAGGTATTCCAAACATGTAGAATATATTTCAGGTTAAAATCTGATTTTTGATTAAAAGTTGAAAAAAACATAACACATTGCCGGAAAAAAACCCATTCACGCTAACATATATATATATATATAATAAAGTTAATATTATCTTAAAAAACAATTTAAATTTTACCCCCCTATTAGACCGTATTTGTTTATATTTGACAGATCAAATATCGGCTGACCGAATCATATTTGACAGATCAAGTACATAAACCCCTGATAATAACATAAAAATATAACTAAAACGATAAGAAAGATGATTATATTTAATATAATAGATTAATATTGATTATTTCACAAATAAACATAACTCATTAATTGCGGGAAAAAGATATTTTAAATATGTTACTGGTAACGGATATCAGAGATTTGATATATATTATGATTGAAATGAGTAATGTATCGCTTTAAGTGAGGTGTACCACAAATTATTATAAATATGTCTGAAATTCACAAGGTAGGTATCTTCTATCTGCATCAGAGAATTTCGCGGGCTCATGCCCTGTCCTGAGCCTAATATCATTTCCTGGGTTTTTTGAAATTTTTTTTGAAATTAGCTTGGCCCTAAAATTACTAAATTTAAACTTAGCTTATTTAAAACACAGTTGCTCACATTTAAAGAAATATTGACATTTTTTCTTCTAATAATAATTAAATTTTAATTATAGGTAAAACAAAATGATTGCCTAAATACACTTAAATAAGTTTATATTTATTTTTTATTAAATACAATCAAATTAAATTTTTGGATATGGGCTTGGGCCGGGCTTAGGAATGTTTTTTTAATATAAGATATAGACTAGTCCTGGACCTAAAAAAAAGTTTTTTACTGCGGACCTGGGCGGGGCTTAGTCAAAATATTATAACCATGAATTTGGAAAAATTTTAAAATTTGCAAAACCCAGGTCATTGATGTATGAATTCGATTAATAAACGAAAATTGGAGAATTTACGAGGCTCTAAGGCCTTGCTTATAGAGGGGGGGGGAGGTGAATTGATAAAATAATAATGTGGAAATGTGGGTTAGGGGGGAGGGGGGGGTTTGCTTAATGTCCCCTATCTTCGCGCCTATATATGATACGATCTTTTTAAAATATATATAGTTTAATTATATATGTTATTACTATATATATTATACCTTTAAAAAACATTTAAAATATTTGAAATCTCTTTTAAACATATATAATTTTACAGATTTCGTAAAGATAGTTTAGTTATATCTGAAATATACCTAACTAATTAGAAGAAGAAAAAAAATAAATAGTAATAATCAAAAGGTATAATAAAAAATTCAAGATAATTATTATCCTATTTTAAAGATTAGATCTAATAATTTAAAATATATTATACTCATTTACGTATTTCTTATCTACCAATTTACAATTTACACTATAATTAAAATAAAAAAATATTACCTTTTTTAAAAAAAATATATAATTGAAGAGGTATATATTGTCAGATTCAGGGAAATTCGACACCTTTGGATAAGTCGGATAATTAAAAATAAAATATTTTTTTTAAAATTAATATCATCAAATTTCATCTAACGAATTCAATCTGTTCAATATCATTCTTTTCAGGATAATTTATTAAATTCTAAACGGAAGAACATCCTTTATACATTGTATTTTTTTTATATATATAAATCAAAGGTATTGAGTGGGAAAAAAATTTTTTTTTTATAGTAATTTGTAGTAAAGAAGAAAAGGATATTTAACTTTATATAAAATATATATATATATCTTTAAACTTATAAAAAATAAAATTACCAAAAATATATTAAGAAAGCGCATTATAGATTCGCTTATAAGTTTTTGGCCGCACAATTCCAAAAAGCTGGAGCCGGTTACTCTTCTTAGCGGGCCTTCAGTCCGAACCAACCTATGGTGCCATTTAAAAACCATTTTTATTTTTTATTTTGCATGGTTGATTTTTTTGAAACATCATAAAACCAAACTTACTGGTTTAAAAGTAATTCATTCCTTATTGGTTAAACCGAAGAGGGAAATAATGCAAATTAGACACTTTTTTTATTTTATAGATTTTATTTTATAATTTAAAAAATTTATTTTTGAATAAATATGGGAGATTTAGTGGTTGATTTATGGAAATTTTTAAAACTGCAGTTGTGGAAGTTTTAGTAATGTCGTATTTCCAATCTAATTTTTAAAATTGTAGTAGACTCATATTCAAATGTGAGACCTGACAACTATATTTATTCTTTTCGCATACATTTTTAAGATAATTTGCAAATATACTAGTCAAGAAATCAATTTGTTTTAAAAAAAATTCTGACTTATCTTGAAAACAGAAATCAAGATCCAAGAGGGCTAAAAAATTTTTTTGACTTATCACAAGCTTCTAAGATCTTTAAAGATGATTTATTTCCTTTTCTTGGAATCATATTTTCAATTCCTTATTTTAGTTTTTTCAATAATTTTAAAAGTTTTTTAAAGCAAAAATTTAATCTTTCAAAAAAAATATATATATATAAAATTATAATAAGTTATTTTATACCCATAAAAACTTATTGTTTGAAAAGTAAGAAAGGAAAAAAATAAATGTGTAATTGACTTTTATATATAAATAATAAAATTAATACCTGTCGCCTCACTTCTAGTCCCTATAAACATATATTAAAAAAAATATAAATATAAAAGAGAATTATGATTTTATTTTTTAATGATAATTAGTTTAAATCAGATATGATAAAATATTACTTGTATTTATTTTACGTTTTTAACTTTTTAATACCTTATAAAAATTATAATTATTGTAATATGTATATACTCAGTGTAAATAAAACCTCAGTGTCGATTGATTTTAATATAAGTCAATATTGTCTCTTGGCCGGCTATTTGGTATACTAAACAATTATAGTAATATAACTCCTATTTTTTTTTGGTAAGGATTAAAATAAAATATATATATTAATAAAAGCCTGACTTCAAAATAAAATGCTTATTTTATATTTTTTATTATACCATGTTTTCGAGTTTATGCTATTAAAAATTTTTTATTAAATTGAATAATATTATACATACACCTGATGCTTAAGAAACATTTTAATTTTTAAAAGAAAAAATAACCCACCACTCTCCCCATTTAACTCATTGCAAATAAAATTTTTTTAAAAATGATCTAAGAATAGAATTTAATAGAGACGAGTTTTCCACCTGATCTACCTACCGAACCTTAAATTCAAACTTTTTGATCGGGTTCGGTCCAATTCGCACTCCGCAGTTAGCGTGAATTCGCCGCGAAGTCTTATTCTTTCCCACTAATTTGCGCTAAGTGTGATTGATAGTTTAAGCGGGATCCAAAGGATTCGAAATCTTATCTCAACTCGGATCAAGCTTATTCCTGATACAATATTTCGGAACGAATTTGGATCTTTGAAATAGGTCGCTTATAAAGAATTAATACACTTTTTGAAGGAAAATATAATAATTATTAATAAGTTGAGAATATTTTTTTTTTAATTTTTATGGTATAATTAATTTTTATTTTTCAAATAATATCATAAATTTTTTTAAAATAAAAATATTATATTTGAAAATTATTGTATTAAAAATAATATAATTTAAAAAAAAGAATATTTTAATATAAATATCAGAGACCTGCAGAGGTACCATTTGAACGGCCGGTAATTGATTAAAAAAATATTCGGCCCGGCCCGGATATTTTTTTAAAAATATTTTATATTTATTTTTTGATTTATATAGCTAATAATGGCGATTTCAATTGAAAAGGAATAACTTGACAATATAAAATTAAAATTAAACAAATCAAGATAAAAAGTATTATTATAATAATTATGTGTAAAAAAAAAACTAAAATTATGTAAGTATAAGAGAAGAAAGAATATTTTTTAAAAAGAAAAAAAGGATTGATTTTATTAAATAAAATTGGAGAGTTCTGAGAAAAATTTAATACGATATTTATTATTGCGGGGAAAAAAAAAATATGGTTACGTTATGTAAGAATTCCTTTTTTTTTTGCCTTTTCATTCATTTTATTAATATTTTTTTTTGCAAACTTTTTATGTCTCCACTGTCTCCCCCTTTTATTTATCATTTTTAAATCTTATATTATATATATTTTATTTTTTAAAAAAAATTAAATATTATAAATATTACTTTTAATTTATAGACGTCAACCTAAGAAAAATGATATTCTCCCTTTAACGACAAAATTTATAATATATTTATATATATATATATAATCAAATAATTTTTTTATCTAAGATTAAAAAAATCGTTAAAAAAATTTTTAATAAGAACTGATAATCATTTTTATTTTTTTTAAAAAAATATATAAAAATATTTAATTTAGTTAATTTAAAAAAAAAATTTTTTTAAAGTATCGAAAAGATATTTTATATACAATTATTTTTATTTTTTAAATTTGAAAGTAAATTATAATTTAAATGACGATTTTCGCCGAAAAATATCAGGGCCATTATAACTGTTCGTTAGGAGATGACGGAAACGATTTAATAGCGCTGAACGATAATGGCTCAACTTCTAATTATCAAAATGTTCATCCCGATGCTTACGTATTACAAGATTCTCAGATAAATTTTGACCACTCTTGGAGATCTCGGGAATATATGGCTTATACGGAAGGTTGGCTTAACACTGATAATCCCTTTACACCAAACACGTCGTTGAGTTCTTCGGGTTCTCAAGTAAATCTAAATACCGATAATCGAGTCCAAACAAATTACGAAAATACTTTACGAAACCAATCATTCCAACCATACCAACAAATATCAAATAATCAATATATGAATAGCTCGAGCGATGTAGCAAACCATAGTAATGATAATAACGCTACAATCAGTTTCGACAAGACAAATTTCGACATTCGTCATTATAAATACGTTGTTACTACAAAAAATAATGATACCGGTGAGTATAATACCCAAAATATACACTATGCCAAACTTTTCAATCCATCGCAAATCGAATGTTTGGCATCAGTCATGAATTCCAGAAAAAAGTTCAACATGTTGGAAAAATTTCTCACAAACATTTTCAACCAAGATGACTCGGAAAAGATGTTAAACCAAATTGTGCCTCAGAATCAGAGTTATAGGGATAATCAAATACTCCTTAAATGCTTTGCCAACCTTTTATTGAACAAACACAAATTCGAGGCCCTCTTTAAGTTACTCGAGAATCGTAGCTTCGATAAAGAACATCACTTAGAACTACAGAGTCTGTGGTACAAAGGCCGTTATCTCGAAGTCCAAAATGCTAAGTGCAATCTAGTTGGAACCACGACACACGTACCAGATGACGATTGTGACAAGGCTACTATTATAGCTAATAAACTCAAACCGCTAGGAGCCGTGGATAAATATAGAATACGTCGAAAATACCCCCTTCCAAAAACTATATGGGACGGGGAAGAGACCATTTATTGCTTCAAGGAAACCTCTAGGAGGGTTCTAAAAAATTGTTACGAAAAAAATCGATACCCAACATCCGAAGAAAAAAGAAAATTAGCCCAAAGGACTGGTCTAAGTTTGACCCAGGTGTCCAACTGGTTCAAAAATAGACGGCAGAGAGATAGATAATTACAGCTGTTTTTTTAAATTTATTATAGACTAATTTTTTTTATTATTATTTCCCTACCCATGTATAGATAATTTTTTAAAAAAATTAAAAATATGTAATTTTTAAATGTTGAAAAAGAAATGATAAATAAAGGATACTGTGTATATATATTATTCAAATTTCCAATTATACGTTCCTTTCTTAGGTTACATTAGACCTAATCGCCTATTGGTTATATTATAAATGAATACTTTTAAAATAAATGGAGATTAGATTTATTCCATTTTAGTATTTATTGACCATCCCGCCATATAGTTGGTATTTGGCCTAGATAAATATTGTAAGGTTAATTTTTTATCTTACAAAAATCTTTCTTAAAAAATTTTTTTCAATCATTTTTATGTTTCTTATTACAAATTGTAATTGATAGATAAAAGTATTGATAAATGATAGTATATTAATTTTATAATTGGCTTCAAAAAACATATGTAAATGTAACTGTGTTATAAAGTGTCGAAATAATAGTAATTTGTATCGGTAAATTAAATCCTTTAAAAGCCATGGTTCTATACGTCTCAGACCGGGTACGATCGATTTGATTGACGAATCGTTCTTTTTTGAGGACCACAGTCCGGGCCGATCTTTTTATTTTTTAAGTTGGCATTACTATTCAATTAATATAATTTTTTTTAAACTAATTTTCTTCATATATTTTATTTTTATGTTATTTTATTTAGAGTTCTCATTTTATTTTATATTATTTTTTCTAGAGGAGTTATTTAAGTTTTTTTTTGTGATTTTTTAGTTCATTTTTATTTTGCAATATGAAAACCATAAGTTTGTTTTAAGAAGCATTTTACTTCTCAATTAACAAAAATTAAATAACAAATTAAAAAACAGGTCTTGGACTGGTCTTTTTATTTAGGGCCGTGGTCTGGATCAATCTTTTATAAAAACCGTAGTCTGGTCTGAGTACATTAGCCCGGTGAAGAAAAGATCGGAGCATGACATTCACTACCCCATAACAAAAAATATTTATAAAGGTAGAGATGATACCCTCAAAATTTCGATATTAATGTAGAAAATAGAAGTAGGCTGAACCTATAATTAATCCGCTATTATAAAAAAAGCGGTCATAGAACTGTATACCAACTCGTAAAATTACGCAACCATTCGGTACCAAAGAGATAGATTTAGTTTTAGAGTATTTCGAAAACAAGTTATCCAACATTTTCACAGCTAGTTCTAACCTATATCATATTGCTGTGTAATTTTGAAAATAAAATAACTTTTGGTAAAGGGTGACCAAAATTACATGTAATTCATAAACTATACTAGTTAAAGCAAGATTGATCCAGGTAGTTATGACGTCTGGATTCACAATCCAAAAGTCGGCAGTTCCACTTCCAAAAATTTGGAAAGATGTTATTAATCATGTCTCTTTTTTTTGCCATTTGTGTTTAAAAACTTTTACCAAAGTTTAAAGGCCAGGCCAGCATAGCTATCTAAATTAGCATCTAATTTTATTAGCTACACGTTAAAATATTTTTATGCAAGACCCGGTCAGTTATTTTATTTATTTTTTTTTATAAAGGAAAAAAGATATAAATTTATCCCTAAATTATCTTTCGAAATTTGTATTCAAAATTTCAGACGGCCTGTAAAAAAATATTTTGGTAATGAATTATCTTAAATATTTAGCAAATGGTTAAATTGAAATTTTGCGTAAGAAAATAGAGTTTTTTTGAGTTTCACAAAAACAAGACATAAAGTAGCTATCTGTAAATAAATGTATCTACCATTATATTAGATTAATTTTTAATAAGTATCGCAATTGTTTAAGAAAAAAAAAAGACCCACATAAAAGTGTTTCTATTTATCTCTTAGTGTTGTTAAACGGTTCGTAATGAGGCGATTTTTAAAACGGTAAACTCGATTTTCATCCGGAATAGTGTTGTTAAACGGCTCGATTTGAGCCGATTTTTAAAAACGGCTAACTCAATATTCTATTCAGAAAATTATTGTCTAAGCCTCAAGATTTCGTTAATAGATGTTACCGTTATGCCACATATGAACTAAATCTTAAAGCTTGCATAATATTTTTCCTAATAAAATATTAAGTTAGCCGATTTTAAAAATCGGCTTCAAAATAAGCCGTTTAACAACACTAATCCAGAATAGTAACAAGCAAACTTGAAGATTTTGTTTGTAGAAGGAACAAAGGTTTGGACATCTATTAACGAAATCTCGAGGCTTAGGCAATATTTTTCTGGCTAAAATATTGAGTTAGCTGTTTTTAAAAATCAAAACGAGCCTTTAACAACGCTACTTAAAATGCGCGATTGAAATAACAAAGATAATATCAAATTTTGCCAATTCTCTAATTTCTTCAATAAAATCAAGGGAAATAACGCTAAAAATTACATTTTCGGTGCGTGTCTCTATTTGATCCTTGATATTAACTTTTATTAACATATGAAGAAAATAACAGGATTAGAAAACATTTACAAACTTGGCTTGTATAATTGATGTACTTGGTGATAGTATAATGATATATAATTCCTTTCTAACATGAGTTTCTAGTCCAAATAATTATCCGACCCCAAAGATGATCTTAAATCCTTATTGTAAATGAAAGAAGATAATAAAGGCTAAAATATGCCAATACAAAAAAAGGGAGATAAATATATATTATTATAAATTCTTTAAAACATCTGACAGGAAGAAAGTAAAATTAAGAGAAAACCCAAGTTTATCTATTAGTGATAGCCATGCGTTCCAGCCATCCAGGTTTTGGTCCAAAGAACGTCTATAGTATTGAAAATACATTTCAACACTACAGAAAACTGGAGTGGAGTGGATAAGGTTATATTAGAATGATATTTTTAATTATATGTTGTATAATCATAATATTCAAACAAAAATTTGACAATAATATTTTTTGATTAACTTTAAAAACTGTGTTTTATTCTTCTATATTTATTCTAAAATAATGTTAAAATTCTTTATTGAGTTATGCATAGATATTCAATGTAAAAAAAATTATATCTGAACATTTATTTAAATATTTACCGGAACCCTTAAATCTAAAATTATAATTTTCCTGGAACCTGAGCAGGGTTGCCATGCTCCCCCTCAGCGGGAGACTCCTGTAATTTTTTAGTTTACACGCAGAGATCTCTTTCCCGCAAAACTACCGCAATTGGAAATATCCCGCAAAAATCTGCCGCAATATTTTAATTTCTCCCGCAATTTTTAAAAAAAGTATTTTAACGTTTTTAATATATAAATAATGATTTTGAGAGACATTAATTGATTATTTTTATATATTTAAAAGAAATTTTAAATATTTAAAAAACATGTTTAGTCTGTAAATTTCTTTCTATCCTATTTTATTTTTATCCAATAATAAATCAAAATCATTTCATTCATATAAGTCAGTACAGGGGAGTATATCAACATTGATTGCAATACAAAAATATTCTCAAAAATAATAAATAATACAGATGCAACTACATTTGCGGAAATCGTGTGCATCTATCATGTAGTTTAACATTCACAGAGCTATATCATCACAATGTGGGTCAAATCTTTCTCATGATATTTAACGACTCCAATACAAGTGCAAACCTTACTTGTGGCAGAGTAAAAATGAGCAAGGTTATCACAAGTGTTTTAGTATCTGAATCCTAGAGGTTAATTTTAGACGATTTGAAAGATGGGCATCCATATTCAATTCTAACAGATGCATCTAATAAGGGATATATTAAAACATTTCCCTCGATCCTTCGCTATTTCAACAAGAATGAGAATTTTTCAATAAAACTGTTATAATTTTTTCCTCGGATAGTAAAAAATCCAACGATGTAGCTAGCCACATTATGGTAAATATAGCTGATTCAGGGTTATCAATGATTTGCATGTCAGCTTTCTGCGCTGATAATGCCTCTGTAAATTTTAGCAAAAACCAAAGTTTCTGAATTGAGGCAGCACAATAATGAATTAATACTAATTGGCTGTATATGCCATATACTACATAATTCTTACAAGAAGGCAATGAATGTACTATCAGTGGATGTCGAAATAATTATGATGAAATGTTTTAACAATTTAGTTCATCAACTAAAAGAGTTAATAAATTAAAAGAGTTGGTAAAGTGGTCTGACTTGGAATAGTGTGAGTTGTTGCGATATATACCTATCATGTGTTTGTCATTAATACCTGCCATCAATAGAATTTTAAAATTTTACAAGCCCTTAAAAAATACTAAATAAAGATTTTAAAAGCTCTCCTAAAATTTTTAAAAAAATTTTCGAGTATGAAATAGCAGAAGCATATTTGAGATTCATTTCACATGTAGGAAATCTACTTCATGCAGTTAATATTTAGTTGCAACAAAATCATGCTAAAGCACTGTTCATCTCTACAGTTAAAAAATGATAATAAATTTTATGGCGCTATTGCTAAAAATATTATATTAAATGTTCAAATAATAATCTAATTAATACATTTTTAAATGAATCAGATATTTTTATTAAGACAATTTTAGAATATTTACAATCAAAATTTGATTTTAATAACTCTATTTACAAGTGTGTAAATATTATGACCTTGGAACAGAAACCATAAATTGATGATTTTTATAATTTAAATATATTAAAAATACCGAACGACATTGATGTCTTGTTTGAGGAGATTGTAATTCTCTCTATATTTTATGATTCGCCAAAATACTCAAAGTTAGATGGTCTAAAAGCAGAGGAGAAATGGGTAGAATTTTTTCGTAATAACGATAAATCCCATGCTTGGAAAATATATGCGAGTATGTCTTTTCCTTACCTTATTATAATGCCTCATACGACAGCATTTTTAGCCTGATGAGGACTGCCTGGAAAAAAGGAGAGAAATCGGATTGCTTTAACAACATTAGAGGCAGAGCTAATGGTTAAACAAATATATAATATGTCATGCCAGGAATTTAATAAATATCTCAATAACGACGGTAAACATAGTTCTATTATTTAAATCTCAAATAAAATATAATTAAGTTTTTGGCGCCATATTGTCAATT